AATGTGAAAAATCTTATTCTACAGCAATAAATTAGATTAGTTCCCAGAAATTCAAGCAAACAAAGAGGAAATTAGAAACGTTGCTTCGGAAATTAGATTTACTTCAACAGAGTCCAAAATACTATTAAAGGTTTAAATTTAGATCACGGTGTGAAATAGAAGAAAAAATTAGTAACTTCGAATAATATTCTTTCACCTGCCTAAAAGGTTCAAAAATTTTGTAATAATGGCTTCAAAGTAAATAGCTTTAATTTTATTATTTTGCTTTTTTACTTTATATTTATGAAATTGAATTATTATCAAATAACTTAGTAAATTTGTAGAAAAAACGAAATATATATTTTTTAGCTGCTCTTTACAAATGTAACCATTTCTTTAAGGTTTCATACGAATATTTTTAGTTCCTTTATATAAAACTTTTACCTTTTGCAATATTACAGGCTATGTAATTAATAAAATATGGGGGAAAGTACGATTGTTTAAACAATCAGGTAAATATATTTTACAGAACTTAAATGCTTGCTGCGTTCTACTTTTACAACCAGGATTTATTTTTTTTAAAAATAAATTACAAAATTAATTACATCATTTGTTAGCAAGTTGCGCTGATGACTAAGACAACTATAAAACAAGATAACTGCATATTTCACTATTTCAACTACATGTTAGATATTTGCACAAAAGTATGTTTAATTTTCCACAAGCTGCATTACGACGTTTTTACAAAATCGATGTAATATTTGTAGACAATAAAAATTATCTAAAAAATAGTTGAATCCCTTAAAAGCGCACGTCTTTTTTAACTGGTTAACTAGAAATAGCTCCCATGCATAATTCATCAAAATCAGATAAAAAAAATAATAATTCATACTTTTCATTAAATGTCAATTTTTTCTGTCAACTGATTTTTTTCATTAAATGTCAATGTCAATTTCTAACACTTTTCTTTATTCTAGCACTTGTTTTAGAAATAAGAGAACAGACAAATTTAAATAATAAATTTTTTGTTTCAATATTCTCGAGTAAGAGCTACTGTCCGAAAATTATACCTTTAAGTGTCTTATATATTCGTAGTTGTAGCCTTTACTAAAATAACTCTAAGCTAAATGATAGATTTAATAAGCTGCGATTGATAACTGACAACACACACATGCGTACATATATATATATATCTACGNGGTATTTAGAGAGAGAGGTAATAAGTGAGAAAAAGTAAGGCATGGGTGCATACGCAATAAAAACTCTGAAAAAGGTGATTTAATTTTGAAAATTAAATATTGCCAATTTATGGAGAAAAAAAACTCGAAGATTGCATAAATCTGGAGGATAATTCCATTTATTATTGTATGTTGCGAAGCTTTAAATATTCGAAACATTACAAAATTGTAATTTCTTTGATCCAGAAGAAAAAAGAAACTACATATTATTTAATGAAAGGAATTTAACAGAAGACAAATTCATAACATATCTAAAAGTGGATTCCAAGACGAAGTGTAATAGCTCAAAAATTCAATTTGTTTTTTAATTTGCTTATTAATATTAATTTTTTTCTTTTATAAATTATCCTCAGTAAATTTTTTGAAAGAATTTTAAAGAATAGCTAGTACGATTGTTAAAAAAGAAAATCTATTCGAAAATCGTCAGTTAAAAAAAATCAAAAACTATTTGCTAGGTTTTTCAGATATTTTGATTTTGTTACTATCAAAGGTGAATGTATGGGAAGGGGAGGGGGAGAAAGGGCTTAAATAATCAAAAATCAATTTCTTTGTTCAATGGAACTAGAATAGACGAGAACGAAGTCATTTATTTTCTAAATTAATTCTTCGAAGCCTTTCATTTTTTGTTTGCAGTTTTTCTGAGATGATGCTTTCTGTGAGAAAACCATGTTTATGTCGGATAGTAAATCAATTTTATGATTCACGAAAACAAAAAGTGTTTCCTCATTTTAACGTAAAATAAGAAATGCAAAGCCATTAACAGTAGATTTAGATAAATAATACTGTTCGTAGATAAGGATTTGTAACGTAGATTTTGTTTTAGAATAATATTTAAAAAGTGTGATTTACTTTCTTGTAGACATACTGATATTATTTTAATTTAATTTAATATATCTGTCATGTTTTACTCTAGTTAATGTAGAATTTTATGTATGTTAGAAAGCTTTATAAACATTTTCTCTTTTAAGCACAATATTTATCAAATTTAAGGAAAGAAAACTGCTTGCTCATAATAATTTATATTGCAAACTCTATTTGCGAATATCCATTTGACCAATAATTTGCTTTCAGACCGATATAAGTACTAATTCCATGTCATTATCAATTTATGCAAGTAACTAAATAAGCTCTACTAATACAAAGTTTCATGTATATGAGAAAGTTTTATAGGTAATTTCAATTTTACTTTTTAAATTAAATTTATGTAAAGAATACAATTCATTCATAATGATATTTAATGTTATTATTATAATTAATAATATAATAGCTTGCAATTTATTTCATACGTATATTTTTGAAAAACCTACATGTTAGTTTATTAAGAGGTTTGTGTACATGAAAATGTTTTATAGCAAAACTTTCTTTTTAATTTATAGAAAGAACTTTAAAAATTATTAGGCAGTGGTTTACATAAAGTGATTCAGAAACAAATAAATATTCTAAGATGATAATCTAAAACAACTCAGAGCTTTATCATTCCAATTTAAAAATTTCATAATAGAAATTCTTCAGTGGAAAGACTTTAAAAAACGAAATTCTTCAACAGAAAATACAGTTTTAATTGAAAATATATATATATAAATATATATAC